TGGTTGAATACTACAGATGTACTACCTCACTAAAGGGTTGAGCGCCACAAAAGAGTCTTGCATTTTTTACTTTACCAGCTAGTCTCAATTACCACATTTAAAGCAATTTGCTCACACTCTACCTTTAAGGAGACTCCAATTTTTTACTTTTTTTTAAGCAGCAGGGGCTTAGACTGCTTAGTAGTTAGTACTGCTGGTAAAATTTACTTTGACCTTTATGATCTAGAGGTAAAATTTACTTTGTCCATTTATGATCATGTTCCTGTACACACCACCAGTATGCAGATCTGCATCTATTTGAAACAATTTTTATTGTATTTTATTTTTGGGTAATTAAAGCAACTTTGATTATACTGAGAAGAAAGCCACTCTTACAGACACACACATATCATAGCATATGGTAATGTTATTTAAACCACAACCACTATTAGGGACTCTCATTGGGACTCATGTTGTGGAGTCTCACCATCCAAAAGCAATGTAAGTGCCATCCTACTGATCGAAAGCATTCTAGAAGTAGATTTGTTCTTTGCAATGTACAAACACAAAAAGTAACATTACTCCATCATCTTTGCCATGTAAACACAAAAAGTAGCGTTACTCAATTAAAGTCGGCAAGAAGTTGTTGACACTTGTAAGGATGCCTTCTACGTTCTGTGACTTCTGTCCCAAAATAGTTAGGTACTTTGGGCACAATTTCTAAAGTACTCAACTATTTTGGGATGGAGGGAGTACGAGACTAAGGAGGAGGGAGCAAAGCGAACAATAGCCCGCAACCTGAGATGGATTCTGACACAATAACAATGTTGTTCAAGTAGAATTTTAAGCATTAATTTTCGCTTATGGGTACTAATCCTCTTAATATTGCATAGTTAGCCAGCCTACTAATGACCCTATAAAATTTTATTTTTAACTTATATGTTATTATATATACATTTTTTTCACATATGCCACTAGTTGGTGTCCATTTTGTCTAATGGGGATATTAACTCCTTTCATCACATATAGCGGAAACATATCATTACATTATCATTACATCATCACACAAATATATATGGATATAACAATCAAACACATTCACGCACAACATAATATTTTACATAGTTCAACCAAATTCGGGCTACATCCATGAAGATAGAGATTTCACTATTATGTATCAAAGAAGAGAAAACCTTATACACTCTTTCACTCTTTTCTTATTTCATTCCTATGTTCTTTTTCAGGCTAAGAACACCAAAACCCATTTCTTCTCGAGGCTACATTCACAAGAATTACATATAATCTCTCATCTTCTCACAAAACTCACCCCTTTAACCACTTACATCTTCTATTACTCTATCTCTCTACCTAAACCCATACATATCAATTATAGAGTTTTCAAAAACCAATTCCTCATTGGATAAGAATTCCATAATTTACCTGCAAGTAGTAACTATATCAGTCACAAATTTAAAATATAAGCATCCTAAACGGAAAAGGAAACTAATTTTCACACGTAGAATTTCGAACCACAAACTCCACAATCTCCACCTTGGCTCAAATTCGATCTTTCATGTAGTCTTCTATAGTTCCATCTTGACTGAAGATCTCTCCATCTCAAATCAAACCTCTTTTTTCGTCCTCCCTTTCCATTAGTACATAATTGCTCATGCATGGCAATCCACTAAAACTATTTTAACTCACTATTTTTCTGGCTCAAAGCAACAAACATCTGCTTCGCACTCTTCACACATACTTAGATACCTTTGTGTCATCATCAAACTCTGATTGAATCTCCATATCACCTCACAATCAACCTTCTACTTTGACAAACTAATTTACACCAATCTTATGCTATGGTATTCAAGACCAACCACATGCTCTGATCCACCATCGACTCTAATACGAGTTGTTGAAGATATTAACTTCCTCTTTCATCACATACAATGGAAACATCATTACACAAGTATATATGAAGCTAACAATCATACATATCCACGCACAACACAATATTTTACATGGTTCACCCAAATTCGGGCTACGTCCATGGAGAGAGAAATTTTATTATTAATCACCAAGAAAAATAATATACAACCATAGATGTCAAAACCCCACACACTCTTTTACTATTTTCTTCTTTTATTCTTCTGTTCCTTTTTGTGTTAAGAACACCAAAACCCATTTCTTCTCAAGGTTATAGCCACATGAATTACATATACTCTCTCATTTCCTCACAATAGTCACCCCTTTAACCCGCTTACATGTAATGACCCACTTCACCGCATGATATGATATTGTCTGCTTTGGACTTGAGCCAGTACAATTTTACTCTTGGGTTTTTACTCCAAAAGACCTCATACCAATTAGAGATAACACCACCATATATAAGCATTTCACATTTCCCTTATTTTGGGGTAAAGCGTAAGAGTAAAACCGTGCAGGCTCAGACCCAAAGCGGATAATATCATACCATGATGTGGAGTGGGTTGTTACAAATGATATGAGGCCCGACGTCCCCGAAGGTACAAGCAAACTACCACACTGGGCGAGTTACGGGTGCACAATCCCACATCGCCTGGGTAAGGGAAAAGTGAAGTGCTTATATGTGGTGGTGTTATCTCCATTTAGTATGAGGCCTTTTGGGATAAAGTTCAAGAGTAAAACTGTGCAGGCCGGGGCCCAAAGCGGATAATATCATACCATGCGGTGGAGTGGGTCGTTACAAATGGTCACTCTACCCAAACCCAACTTTGTTTATAGAATCATCAAAACCCAATTCCTCGTTCGACAATAATTCCAAATTTTTTTTTTCGATAAATAAGAACTCTATAATTTGCCGACAAGGAGTTACCATTTCAATTACAACTCTAAAATGAAAACATCCCAAACGGAAAAGAACACTAATTTTAGCACGAATTTTGAACCACAAACCTAACAAACCGATCCAGTTTTACTAGTTATATCTATTCTCAATCTTTTTGTATTATCAATCATAAATAGTGAAAGTGCTATTTTTGAGTAATCTTATGATTTGAAAGTGTTATCATTTATCAAGAATTGATTGAGTCATTGTTAAATTTACATTCCACATACTTTGTTTTACTTGGATAATTATGAATCATTTTGATTTTAAAGTGTTGCTTTACATTTATAATTTTATCGCTAATTTTTTTTTTTTTGAAAGTATTTAATAAAACAATATCATCAACAAATATCATGTACCTTATAATGCATTCTTGAAAGTATTTTATGTTATTTCATCTAAGATTATTACAAAAAATAAAAGTGAGTTTATCACCAATCCACAGTACAGTCTCACGTTTACTGAAAATTCACTAGTTTCACCACATGCATTTAATTTTTGTATTCACATATACAATAGGGCTCAATTGTTCCCTAGTGAGCAGAGATCAATATACTCACTTTTACTTATAACTATAGGATCTAATCCAACGGCGGCTATTAGAGAGAATAATTATTTTAGAATATTAACATTATTTTAATTAGTCATTGATTATGAAATGATTATATTAGATACATTGTTAAAGAAAAAAAAAATATTTAACCATAAACTGCCACCACCCCACCGCCATTGTCACCTTTACCCCGCCACCACCTCCCCCACCACACCACCTCCACTACCATCACACCGCCACCACCACTGCTACACAACCACCACCACCACCACCACCTACACCACACCACCTTCACCCAAATAGGTTTGATGGCTACATTTGAAAGATCCTTGTTCTTGTGATTCACAATAACCTAATATACAACTTAAAGGGCTTCTAGATCCAATCATTAATCATAATTATCATGAGAAAGCCACAAGAACATGATAGAAAAAACCTATCATGATCAAGAATAAATCTTTAAATTCGTGTCCTTATAATTATTGGTGTATGTAGTGGTTGTGGGTGGGTGGCAGTATGGTGGTGATGGAGGTGGAGGTGGCAGTGTTGTGGTGTGGTTGGGGGAGGTGGTTGTGGCAGTGGGGGAGGAGGTGGGTGGTGGTGACAAACTGACAGTGGTGGAAAGGGACATAATTAAAGTTTAATTAGATTAAAAAAATTATTATTATTATTATTATTTTTAAAGTATTCAATATAATCATTTCATAATTAATGGCTAATTAAAAGAAAGACAATTACCTAAAATAACTATTGTTTCAATTAATCGTTGGATTAGATCATACATGCTATGAGAAAAAGTAAATATATTGCTCCCTACTCATCAAGGTGCAATTGAAACACACACACACACACACATATATATATATATTAATAGACTTTATTATTTGCATAGTAATTTGTGTTTATACATACATTTAATTTTTGTATTATATAAATATATATAGATTTTGAATAGACTTTATTATTTGCATAGTAATTTGTTTTTATTTGTAGAGCCCAATTAAATTTATCTCTTCAATACTTATTGTTGTATTAATGTCTTTTCACAGTTCACACAAAGCCATCTCTTTAATATTTATTGACCACCTTCAATTCACATTAAATTAATCAAATTCTTTATTCAGAAAATAATTTTCCTTACTCCAAAGTCAGTTAATGACGCTTACTAATAATAATTAGAGATGCTGGAAAGGATAAACACCATAGACATCTTATATTTGCTTTCACACTTGATTTATGTCACTAAACTTGAATGTGCAAGTAATGACCATAAATCATAAATGTGCATATATTTATATATATAAAACATATAATAATGTAATTATATATATGCATGGTGGTGGGTTATGTAAGGGGTGGTAAAATGGGAATGCTGACATTGAATGCAACGCGGTTGTGAGGCGTGAGGAGATGAAAAGCCTAGCTTTACAAGCATACAGCTGACTTTTTGCAAGCAAATGAGTAAATGCTCGTTGCTGTACGCTTTTGACTCTTTGGAGATAGCCCTTTTACCTTTTAGCTACTTTGGTCAGCGTAAACATCAACCTTACCCCTCTCTCTCTCTCTCTACCCCTCCCTCTCTCTCTATATTATATATAGACAGTGGTACCCTAGCCTAGGACCCCTGTCTCAGCAGTTCTTCTACTTGAGAACACAAACCATATCTTGAGAGAGAAGAGAGAGATCTTAAGAGAGAGACTCCTGAGATAGCTTAGAGAGAGAGATCATATAGAGTGAGAGATAGCTGATTTTAGTCAACATGGGTAGACCACCTTGTTGTGATAAAATTGGTGTGAAGAAAGGGCCATGGACTCCAGAGGAGGACATCATTTTGGTCTCTTACATTCAAGAACATGGACCTGGCAATTGGAGAGCTGTTCCTGCTAATACTGGTAAACTAAAACTTTCTTTAAGCTTGTTTTGAACAAACTTGTTTTCAATTTTCAAGTTCTTGTTTTTTGATTTATTTATTTATTTTTATTTTTTGAGTTTGTTTTATCATTAAATGGTGTATTTAAGACCTGCAACAACTCCACTGCCGCCTTCTTGAATGTGGGTGTGAAGTTAAAGTATTTTATTTTATTTTTTTATTTTTATTTTTGTAATTTTGTTGTACTCACAGCTTTTTCTTCTATCTGGGATTCTCAGGTTTGCTTAGATGCAGCAAAAGTTGCAGGCTTAGATGGACTAATTATCTCCGTCCCGGTATCAAACGTGGTAACTTCAATGATCATGAAGAAAAGATGATTATCCACCTCCAAGCTCTTCTTGGAAATAGGTAAATCTCTCTCCCTCTCTCTAGATCTCTCAAGCAGGCAATCGGTGCTGTGCACAAGTGAAGGGTGGACCGAAGTTTGGAGATAACCTTACATGGAGTAGTTTTGGTGTGGGCCCCATCCCATGTGAAGTCATCTCTACCTTCTCGTGTGCATATGCAACATCGTGCTCTTGCACAGGAGAGGATCTGGATTCAATCCAGTTCAAATTCCCGTTTTCTTGATTTGTGTTGGATATTATTTTATTACAGAAGTTATATATATATATATATATATATATATATATATATATATATATATATATCACTTCCATACATCCACACAAACAACAATATATATATATATATATATATATATATATATATATATATATATATATACACACACTGTTTTCCCTATAATAACATGCAGATATTTGTTTTGGGTGCAGATGGGCTGCAATAGCTTCTTACCTTCCTCAGAGAACAGACAACGATATCAAGAATTATTGGAATACCCATTTGAAGAAGAAGCTCAAGAAGCTTAATGAAGGCCTTGATGACTCCAATATTAATCAAGAAGGGTCCTCATCAGTTTCACACTCAATGTCCAACAAGGGTCAGTGGGAGAGAAGGCTTCAAACAGACATTCACAGGGCCAAACAAGCTCTATGTGAGGCTTTGTCCCTTGATAAACCAATCAGTTCTTCACCTGACTTGGGCACAACAACGCCGTTAATCCAATCATCCACAACATCCTACGCGTCCAGTACTGAAAACATTTCTCGATTGCTCAAGAACTGGATGAAAGATTCGCCGAAATCTCCTCACGAAACGAGCTCAGAAACTACTCAGAACTCCTTCAACAAACCAGCTGGGACCGGCTGTAGTCCTAGTGAAGGGACACACAGTGCAGCCACACCGGAGGGTTTTGATTCGCTGTTCAGCTTCAACTCTTCCAACTCTGGTTTCTCTCAGTCTGTGTCCATGGATGAGACAGCCAATTTCCCACATGAAACTGGCCTCTTTCAAGATGAGAGCAAGTCGAATTCGGACACTCAATTCCCTCTAAAAGTCATAGAGAAATGGTTGTTTGATGATGGTTCTCAACAAGGTCCATATGACATAATTGACATGACTTTGGGTGAAACTGGTCATGAGTTGTTCTAAACAGAGTTTCAAGTGTTCCTTCCTTTTTTTTTTTTTTCAAATAGGGGGTTATAGGCGTTGAACTGATAGGTATGTTTCTAGCCTGGGCAGGAAAAGATGATCATCACTCTCATATGAGGAGCAAAAAGTGTAAATTACAAGTACATCTAAACATGTATCAGCCATAGAAATAAATATCCTCTCGTCTTTTTAGAATTGAAACTCTTTGTACTTTTCTGAAACTTTTGCTTGGAACATCTCTCAGGAAAGAGAATCAGGATTTGCTGCTTTAAATTAAATTTCTGAGATCTAGAAAAGTGGAATGCTTAAAATTCTGAATTTCATGTGAAACTACCACCATTTCAGGGTTGGCATAACTATAGACATATCAACGGATGAGATTTTGATTCGAATCATAATTCCGATATGCATTGAAACATTAAATCTGATAGACCATTAACAACCCAAATGTAATAATCTGTTACATCAACATTCTAAATTTGGAATATGATTATCTAATCTGATAATAATCCAATTCAATGTGAAATTGTAAATACTATCGACATGTTCTTAGCACCTCCAAATTTAGTGTCTTTTTTTTTTTTGCCCAATTCTTTTTTGTTTCTTCTTCTCTCTTTCTATAATCTTTATGTAACTAGATTTTTGTAACAAAGATTATATATATATCTTACTAGGTTGAGTTAATTGGCGAGGAGATAAGGATTAGGTCAAACAGATTGCTTAGAGTGTGGCTAACAAGCAACTATAGAAAAGATCGATAGACTTCTAACTGACTCATTTATTGAATATATATGCAGTGCACTGGTCTTCACCTACTCGGAGAATTAGTCTTCTTTGAGTATGTCATAGTTTCTTAATTCTCTCTAAAGATGATAATGTATGTCCTCTAATTTATATGAAACAGTAATTTTGGAGTGCTGTCGAATATATTGTAATATATACATACATGTGAGATATACAGAATCAGAGTCCTAATACAGAAATAACAGTAATACCTACCATGCTTCTAGAATGTGTGTGTTAAATTTAAAATTTAATCCGAATAGTTGCATCTAGAATGTGTGTGTTAAATTTAAAATTTAATCCGAATAGTTGCAACTATTCATATGGTAGTCATAGTTTAATTGTCACACCTAGTGAGGTTTGGTTTGCAACTTTTGGAAGTTTATAAATAACGATATTGTACTTTTGATTTTGTAATTCACTTCACCTTTATTCTCTCATTCTCCCTATTTAGTTATCTTTATAACCGTTTCGACGAGAGTTCAAGGAATTCTTTCAGTATTGGTAACTGTAGGAATTCAAATTTATTGTATCATAGGAGTGTTTTGCTAGAGAACCCAATAGTAAACTCATTTTCAATCAACCTAAGAAGGTCCTCAGATCTGACTCTCATTTCCATAGAGCAAGACCTCTATAGCCTTTTTCTGCAGGCCTGTTCTACCTCCCATTCTCAAAGCTGGTTGCTAACATGAGGTATAAAATGTATGTTGCTGTCACTTGTCTGTCAAGGGTGGTGTCGCTCATAAGGATGGATATTGAGTTTAAGATGTTTGATTGTCAATGGTCCACTTTGTATGTGCTGCTACTGAGCTTGTGTTCACTGTGCTGTGTGCTGCTGGTTGTTGTTGCTGGTTGTGTTGTATCTTTGTTTTCGTCCCTACTATAATTGGGGCTTCTTGTTCACTTCTCCATTATTTATACACAAGCTTACCTTTTAACTAAAAACACTTTAAGGAAAGTGAATACATGTCTCAAAGTCGGATTAATTTCGGTTAGTCTTCGTGTTTGAAAGTTCATCATTTATTTTTTTAGGTCATCTTTAACTTTCAGAATTTTGGTCATCTCCAATAACATTAAAGTTTCAGAGGTCGGCGTTGGTTTTGGTCATTTTGGATCAACAATCTTAAAAGTGTTATTTCAATGGAGACAACAATACGTTCAAGGTTATGAATCAAGACTTTGTAAAGCTAGATCGATTTGATGGATTTTGTGAGATATAAATATGTAATTGGCAAATTTCATTGTCAAAATGAGTCTGTTTGAGTTGTAAACTTTCAGTTCATTTTATCAAGAATCAAGATCGGTAGCGGAATTGAAGAAGTGATCGTGTTCATATTTCGATACACTCTGAGATGATGAGAATAACGCTTTAAGAAGGTAAGAGTGTGTGAGGATACTTGGGAGGTTCAAAATTGGTATTTTTCAAGTCTGGCCAACTTGAACTGGTTCAACCACTATGAACTAGTTCAAGTGTCAAAAATTATTTTCTTTGAAAACTCATTGGCCAACTTGAACCGGTTCAACCACTTTGAACTGGGTCAAGGTCTTTAGACAATTTTGGTAACTTAGTTTCCTGATCTATTTTAATGGCTTCCTATTGTGCAAGAACTTTTACCATATTAATTATGCACGAAATTGAATTGCTTTCCGAGTACAATTAGGTTTTCAAAAGTTCATAAAAATATGTTTCCTCAATTAGGATTTCACGGCTTTTTGCATACAAAATTCTAATTTAATTGAGAGCCATATATCTTTGTGAAATTTTTATTTAGAAAACCAGTTTGATTTTTCTGATTTTATTTTTGAGAGCACACACATAAACACGAGTGATTTAGAAGTGTTGTTCTCCATCTCATCAGAATTGGAGCAAAATTGAAGTTTCAGAAATTATGAAAAATAGATCTATTTCTTCTACATAAAATTCAGATTTAAATAAGAAGAATTTGCGATCACACTCTGAAGGGGTCAAGGCGCTTCGCGAAGTATTGTTGATCTACCAGCAATCATTCTACAAGGTGCAAGGAGTAAGTATGAAGTCGACAACTGTTGGATGGGGGAGTCGCAAAGCCAGGGGCGTTTAGCGAGTTGGTTCTTAGTAGAATGAAGGGGTTTGAGTCTTTCGTTAAGCTTAAAGTTCGGTATACTTTGCTTCATGCATAGGGGATCTTTTTACGCTTGGGATAGCGCATAAAATTTCAAGGTTTTCCAATTGGTTTCGTCACTAAAATCCAGTGTCACTCTAACTTTACTTGCATTTATTTTTGCTTTGTGGTTTGATTAATTTATTTTTATTTTGGTAAATTCAATTTAAGCAAAAACTGGATAAAAGAGCAAGTTGAACCTATTCACCCCTTCTAGGTTATTTATCTATATATATTATATTCCACAACCATTCCGCATTGTGGAACTCACAGATTTAACTTTATCCGTTGAAAGGATAAATCAATGTTCTTACTCATTGTTCAGAATATCTCATATGTTCTGGATCTAAATCTTCAACTATTCCCAGAGTCAACAGATAAAGATACAGCGAAGATTATTAAAGAAATGAAGAAATGGAAGGAAGATGAATTGGCATGTAGAGGACACATTCTGAACACACTTTTAGACCGACTCTATGATTTACATACTCCTATAAAGTCTATTTAGGAAATTTGGAGTGCATTGGAATTTAAGTACTACAGATTGAATTGAGAAACTAGGTAAGGATAAATTTATGATATTTACATACTTTAAATTTTCAATGGTTGATAATCTGTTAGTTTTAGATCAACTTAATGGATTACAAGTTCTAGTCACAAAGCTTCATAAAGTGAAAATTATACTTCTAGAATCCTTCCAAGTGGGGCCTATCATTTCAAAGTTGCCACATACATGGAATGATTATAGGAAAAAACTTCTACATAAGACCGAAGAATTTACTTTGGAGGAAATATAAAAGCATTTGAGAATTGAAGAAGAAACTTGGATTCATACGTTATAAGAAATATTATGTTGAAGATTCTTTCGAGAATTATGTGGATGGAGGCAAATCAAATAAATATTAGAAAAGTTTCAAGGTGAAAAATAAATGAACTTTCAAAAGGAATCATCCTTATAAGAATAAAAAAGCCTCTTGGATCATGTTTCCCTTGTAGAAAGAAATGACATTTTATTTGTGATAGCAAGTATAACAAGAATGAAAAGAAAAAGAATGCCAACAACTTAAATATTGCTAATATAATGGAAGAAAAGACTATTGATCTTGTTGTTATGGTGTCGGCAATCCAAATTGGCATGATAATTGAGTTGAACATGGATCAACTATTCATGTATGTAATGATATAACATATTACAAGTTTTATAAATTTGTGGATGATCAAGAGGTTCTGATGGGAAATCAAACTCTGCCGAAGTTTCGGGGAAAGGAAATATTGATATTCAGTTTACTCCAGGAAAGAAATTGACACTGCAGAATGTTTTTCATGTCCCAAAAATTAGAAAGAATCTTGTATTTGTAAATTGGTTGTATAAGAATGACACTAAGTGTGATACCCCTCGATTCTAGAGCCACGGGTGATCAAGTCCGAGCACAGATCCGAGGGATACCAAACAATTAAGTATGTAAATGAACACAGAATACAAAAGAATAATAAGAAATAATTAAAATAAAGGTTGAAAGAAATCTAAAATATAAATCCTTAGAATTAAATAATTAAAATCCAATAATCCCAAAACCTCCAATAAAATAAACAACTCGAGAATCTATCTAGTAGACCCCTAATAAAATCCCAAACTGAACAGTAAATAATTGAAATAAAATCCAAAGCTAAACTATGAAGGGAAATCCTATGTAGTCAGAAGAATGAGTGACTGTCTTTGTTCAGCACGAACAAACTCTAAGCTTGGAACTTACGAACACCTGAAAAATAAGAGTGGGTCAGGCCCACGAGCAAGTTCTACTCTACTACAATCCAAACAGAGACCCGATATGCATGTACATCCTAAACAACTCAACAATAACTATATAGTCCGTACATATATATATCCACACTAAAGGACTCTCGTTGGACTACAGGCCGGTCTGAACCTGACTAGTAGGCAACATGCAAAATGCACCTGAAGTGGGCATGAGTACCTAGACCTAACAGGGTACACCTCCAACCATCATAGCTAATTATGCATCTTAATGCATATACGCTCCCTAACCGTCGATCCTGAGACTCAAGCTCATATCGAGGTACCATAATTAAATATTTAAAATCCGTCCAAACCAAAATAATGTTATTCAACTATTTGTTGACCTGACATGAGTATAAAGAGGACTTAACTTTTAAAGTTAATTCATTCCCTTATTCCAGAGTAGGTATGACTTAGCGTTTTGAGTTAATTCATCCCTAGTATGCCACCGTCCTATTCTGGTGCATATAATT